TGTGCAGTTTTCGGTAGTCTGCATTTCTTTCTAGTGGGTGTGGGTAGGTTTGGGGTGTTTTGATTGCTGTTTTCAGCAGAGGGATTTTTTCCCCTCTGTAGTAGACGCCTTACGCTTTCTAAATGAACTCTCTAGTTGAAAAATATCTTTTATTTATTCCTGTTGCTCTTAAAAAATTCTGTAGTGTTGTTGTTTTTTTATTTATTATCTAAATGGTAATAAATAGGTGGAAGGGTAAATAGAACCTTTCCTCTGGCTTAATTAAGCATATGAGAAGGAAGTAGAGAAAGTAGTGTCTATATTAACAAATAAATGAAATAAGATTTCTGGCTGGATAGCCCTGAATGATGCTATATAAGTAGTGTTCCTTAGGCTGTCATTCTAGTCATCATCTGAAATTCTTCCATTTCTAGCAGCTGCAGATGGTTATTTAGGTCTGAGAATTAACTTAATTAGAGATGTATGCCAGTTTTAAAAAGATCAGTGTCCAAATATGTATTTTTAACTCTTATATTTGATGATGTCTTACGAATTCCTGAGCCAGGTTAGAGAGATGAATTAGTAATTGTGGGCCTGTGGGGTGACTGCATACAGCGCAGCATATGGCTGAGGGAGAGACAAGGTGGGAAATATTGGGGGTGGGAATCGTGCCTATTTCTTCATTCCACCTTAGGAGTCGTCTTGCAGTTTACAAAACCATGGGGGACTTCTGAAGCTTTGTCAAGGCACTTAATATGTCCTTACACCATTAGGTACAAAGCAGTGTGATATTTAGAACTGGAATCTTTAAAACAGTTTACAAATATGTATTTATTCATCCCAGAAAGATAGGTGGTGGCATTTAACTATTAGCTATATCTTTTTACTGTGAGAGAAGACTGAGGGCCACCCAAAGCATTGAATATTAAGGCAAGACCTGGGTTTCAAGACTTGAGTTCCTAGCACAAACTACACCCCTCTCCATAACTGATAACATTGGCAACCTTATTATTAGAAGCAACTTTGAAAAACATCTGACTCAAGAGTTGCCTAAACGCTCATATTCTTATCTCTGGACAGCTGCTGGCTCAGGGCAGCCATGAAAAATTCAGACTTAGTTTTCATAGCCATGACAAGCCTTAATTATCTTGCTCGTAGTGAATATGCTTATTAAATATTGTGTTCTGTTGGCACAGTAAGCTATAGCTTTACATAAGGAAAATAGGTTAAGGAATTTTGCAAGGGATATTGACTGCAAGCACAACAGTTCTAGCAGAAATTGTTCTTCACTGTATTTGAAATGCAAATCTTAGATTAGGGTTTATAGGGTAAAACTAGCTGAGTAAAATACATTTAGGGCATTCAAACTAGTTTGCTCTGCACTTCCTGGAAGATCTTATTACATAGGTAATTATAACAAACTGGGTTGTGATATCTTTCTCTGTGGGTTGGGTTCTAAGTTATGAGCATGTGGCTTACGTCTTTTAACGTCTTTAGACTTACATCTGCTCAACAGTAAAACTTTCGCTATTAACAATGAGTATTTTTTACTGATTGGGGAAAAGTATATTCTTCTCTCCTTAGGGACCTGAAAAGGTGAGTTAATTGGTTCCTGTATTTTTCTATTATAAATTGATCTGGTATAAAAGTTAGAATATTTAATATTAATGCTAATATTAAAGCTTTTACTTTAGTATTAATGATAAAGAAGCTTTTTCGGGTTTTTTAAAGACTAAACAAAAACTGCTTTTCAAAATATGTTTTTTACACATGCAGATAAATCATGGTGTTTTGCATCTGTTGATGTCACTCAAGAAACAAAAACAAAAAGAATCACAATTTAAAAGCCAGCAAATATACATATTGGTTTTGTGGCATTCACAGTGCTTTGGGAGTGATACAGGTATCTGGCTATTTAAAAACAAACAAACAAAAAAAAAAAAACCTGTAACTGCAGATACCTCTACAGAACTAGATCAGAAATGGTAACTGAAATGTTATGGGATCTAAGAAGCTGTTTCCAGCTTCCATTATTGCTAACAGTCAAACTGGAAGAAGGGAGTGTCTGGGAAAATAAGACTTGCCTGAAGCTCATGCACAACAGGTCTGTCTAGAAAAAGATGTTAAGCAAGTAATATTACATTATTACTCGGGAGCAAAGCACTTCACATGATTTCTTAATAAAAGTATTGTTTGACCAGCCGGTTTTACTCTAGCTTGATTCAGTTAAGCAGCAAATATACTGTGTATGTGGGACAGAAGGTGGGGAGGAGTGTAGAGGTTGGGAGGAGATAGGAGACTTAGAGTTGGTGACGTTTTTCAACAAAATATTTCTTCTGTTTCATGTCAAGATCTTGGTTGAAAGTTTTACTGTTACCAAAATGTCAAGTTTGTAATGTAATAATCCAATATTTTCTGTAGCTTTTCCACTGTAGATAGTCAAATGCTTTACCTGAAGTTTAAAAGAACGGTAGTCCTGCATTTCTTTTTAATAATAAATGTGAATTGCTGTAGCTGCATTAGGCAAACAGAGCAAAATCTTGCAATGCAAATAAGAGCATGCAGTGCCACCTGGCAATATAAACTCTGTTATTTCTAATATTTTTCGCTCTTTTCTTCCTTCTAATCTTGAGCCGGCCTACTGTCCTGATTGCCCAACACAGAGGGCAGCTGTAGGTCTCTGGGGGAGTAGATCTTTTTTGCCACATAAACTAAAGGATCAAGGTAGACTAGGTGCATCTTTGGCAGCTACTTATTGTAGGTGGATTTCCCCTTCCTGCAGTGATTGTTGCCAGTTATGATTGCTTTGAACTAGGAGGAATTTTGCTGAGAAGGAGGATCAGGTGACACATGCAGATAAATCATGGTGTTTTGCATCTGTTGATGTCACTCAAGAAACAAAAACAAAAAGAATCACAATTTAAAAGCCAGCAAATATACATATTGGTTTTGTGGCATTCACAGTGCTTTGGGAGTGATACAGGTATCTGGCTATTTAAAAACAAACAAACAAACAAACAAAACCTGTAACTGCAGATACCTCTACAGAACTAGATCAGAAATGGTAACTGAAATGTTATGGGATCTAAGAAGCTGTTTCCAGCTTCCATTATTGCTAACAGTCAAACTGGAAGAAGGGAGTGTCTGGGAAAATAAGACTTGCCTGAAGCTCATGCACAACAGGTCTGTCTAGAAAAAGATGTTAAGCAAGTAATATTACATTATTACTCTGGAGCAAAGCACTTCACATGATTTCTTAATAAAAGTATTGTTTGACCAGCCGGTTTTACTCTAGCTTGATTCAGTTAAGCAGCAAATATACTGTGTATGTGGGACAGAAGGTGGGGAGGAGTGTAGAGGTTGGGAGGAGATAGGAGACTTAGAGTTGGTGACGTTTTTCAACAAAATATTTCTTCTGTTTCATGTCAAGATCTTGGTTGAAAGTTTTACTGTTACCAAAATGTCAAGTTTGTAATGTAATAATCCAATATTTTCTGTAGCTTTTCCACTGTAGATAGTCAAATGCTTTACCTGAAGTTTAAAAGAACGGTAGTCCTGCATTTCTTTTTAATAATAAATGTGAATTGCTGTAGCTGCATTAGGCAAACAGAGCAAAATCTTGCAATGCAAATAAGAGCATGCAGTGCCACCTGGCAATATAAACTCTGTTATTTCTAATATTTTTCGCTCTTTTCTTCCTTCTAATCTTGAGCCGGCCTACTGTCCTGATTGCCCAACACAGAGGGCAGCTGTAGGTCTCTGGGGGAGTAGATCTTTTTTGCCACATAAACTAAAGGATCAAGGTAGACTAGGTGCATCTTTGGCAGCTACTTATTGTAGGTGGATTTCCCCTTCCTGCAGTGATTGTTGCCAGTTATGATTGCTTTGAACTAGGAGGAATTTTGCTGAGAAGGAGGATCAGGTGTCTCTAATGTGTTTAGTGAATCCGTTAAGCTACTGGAATGTAAATGTGACAAGAGAAGATAGAAACCTACCAAAATCAACAAATTGAACCAGTGGTCAAAAGAAATGTCTTGAAAGTATGGATCATGTGTAAGCGTTCTGAAATTTTAACTTTACGGCAGCTGACTTAATGATTTGCAAGGTTATTCAGTCTGAACATAATTTGTGGTATTTCTAGTACTGTTAAATAAAACATTTGAGGCAGCTGCTATAAAGATTAGATGCGTTTTGGGGAATCTAATTACATTTAGCATTGTCTACACTTAAATTACTATTTTGACAGAAAAGAAGCGATTAAAAACAAGCCTTCATTTACATTAATCTTTGCCTTGGGTGACACTGAAGACTTTTCTTCTGTTTTCTAATATGACGTTCTTGTATTGCTCTTCACCTCTATTTGATCTGAAGCTAAATAATGGCTTACCCTTTATGGCAAACTATGGTTTGTCATGGCAGAGCTGAAGTTAGAAAGCAATTAGA